TGTTGGAGAACAGCATCTGTTTCAGCTCAAACACTGACCACATGTGCTGTGCTGGGATCTCAGGGAAGATACATTATGACCTCAACATAGTTTTCCTCATAGTATATCAATCTTAGAGCCAGCACAGCCATCCATGGAATGCACCATGTTCTGAAGAGTGTTTCCATTTTTTTTTTTCCCTGCTACTGCAAAAAGAAACAACATTGCTGCTGGTTTAGTCATCATATCACATTTATCCCTGCTATAGCCTTAAGGATTTCATTGAATTTTGGATCAATGGGGTTTTGTGCCTGGATCCCAGAGTGCTAACAAGTAGTGAGCTCCCTCATTCTTTCTTGCACATACACAGAAATTTAAAGTTATGCTGTTGGGCACAGCTCCAAGTACACCTGCTTCTTCTCTCATTCTGTTACTTGGTAAACAATTAAAAACCAGAGTGCTAACAAGTAGTGAGCTCCCTCATTCTTTCTTGCACATACACAGAAATTTAAAGTTATGCTGTTGGGCACAGCTCCAAGTACACCTGCTTCTTCTCTCATTCTGTTACTTGGCAAACAATTAAAAAAAAGCAAACAACAGAACACAAAAAACCAATGCATCAATTCATGTACATGGGAAATGGCAGCATTAAACACCAGCCTATTGTCTGTTCTAAGGGAAGGGTCTCACCAGCTAGATCACCAACAGCAAACGGGTCACCAAAGAGAAACAGAGATTTTGGGTGCAGAAGTATGCAAGCTATTGAGGAGCCTTGTTTTTCAAGAAGTTTAGACTGTGAGCCCACCACTGGTTTATTTACAAAGCTCAAAACAATCAGGGTGATTAGGTGGTAGGAGAGTGTATTATGGGCTGGACAGCCTTTAGCAACGCTGAATGTGAGGCACATATGACATGGCACAACTGCAACTGTATATAATATAGCCTTGGGAATTGGGAAAAAAAAAACAAGTAAAAAAATTAGATCTCAGTTTTCAGTGGGCTCAACAAATAAAAAAACAGAGAATTAGTGACAATAATTATGGACACAACTTGTACAAGGGATTGTGACAACTGGCTGTTTTACATATATCATCCTGTTAAACATACTCATGGATCTAAGAGAGTATGTTTGTGGTGAGCAATGAGGAGTTGGCACTGAAAATCACCTTTTAACAGGGCACGTATACGTGTGCTGCACTGTCACATTGAAATCACTGAAGTTCTGGCCTCGTCCCAAACAAAAGTACAAGCCTGATATTAAAGTTCCTGACTGCCCTTCTCCTTTGTATCACCTGGGAGGACACGTACAGTCCCAAGTCTCTTTTGGGTCTTAAAACTCAGTGATATGGATCAAACTCGTAAGAGACCCTGGCTTCCTCGCTTCAGTACTATATGCCAGCATCTCCCCAAGCTGCATGGTGATAAAACCTACAATTTCATTCAGACTAACTAATTTCTTACTTCTGATGACACCAGGACTGCAACCCTCACATAGCTGAGGGAAAGAACAAGTGATAATAAATAACAGAAATCTCTCTGCACCAAGAATTTACAGAACTAGCTTACCATTAGGTTACCATTAATAGATAGGTTCCCTTAACTGCTCCATTACATTTTCCTGCATTTTTCAGCTAGCTCTAGTAGCAAGACATATAATAAATTATTAATTAGAAACCAAATTGATCACATTACAAGTACTTAAAAGTACAGAATAAGCAGTGCACAAGTATTTTATTCTAATGAAGACCTCACAAATAGCAATCTGATGCACTAGATAAGGTACCTGAAGCTACTTCACTGTGTCCAAGCTGCCCTCCAACCTTGGAGTCTTTGAAATACTGAAAATCTTTGCCATGGAAGAGACCAATACAAGTCAGAGAAACATTGACTACAGCAGAGAAACTGTGCAACTAATTCTGTATATTTGTCAGCAACTTCCATTTTTTTCCTTCTATCTTTTTATTCTATAGCAAGGATTTATTTTTCTCTTTTTTTAAGGATTGTACTTTAATAGAGCAATTGCCTTGAATGCTTCCTACTTCTTGTCATCAAATATACCAACAGCACTAAACAAAGACTGTACATAGAGCAAGTATTTCAGCGATTTGAATCTCTCCTGTGAGAGGAGTCGTCCAATGGAGGTGAGAAGACTTCAGTCATATGATCAGGTAGTGGTTCACAGACCTCCGTGTGAGGTGGACATCATTTTGAGGGTCAATGAGCTGCAATACATTTAATCATGCTGTTCCATACTACTGCAAGCACAGTCCATGAGGTTGAGACTTGAAAAAATCTCTTTAAATTGCAAATGATGTAGCAGTACATTTCTATTTTATAGTGACTAGTAAACACTGACATCAGCCAAGCAGGCACTGGTCAAACTGCCCAGGCTCTGAGGCTGTCATTCCACACAACGAGAAGTTATCCAGCCTTATCCTGCCTTCAGAATAAAAAGGAATTCAGAGCAAGGGGAAAACTAGCAAAGAAGGTTGCCAACAGTGCTTAAGACAAATTTATTTCAAAGCCTCATCCATTAACCCATTCCAGGCTTTCTCCCAGGGCTCTCAGGCACAACTTACACAGATGTACAGCAGCAGCTGGCTTCCAGCTCAGCCACTGGGACCACACCAGCTCTGGTTTGGGCATCCCACAGCCAACCATCACACAACAGGTTGTTGCACGTGTGTTGTACACAGTCAGTCACTTGAAAAGAGAAGCTGAACAGCTGACACCATGAGAACCCCTTTTGAAAAAGGAAACAGCTACATAGATGCAGAGCCTGATTTGCCATGTGCAGAAATCCTTTACAAAACTTGAAGAGGCAGCTGCTGAAAAGCAAATGCCAGTTGGCAGCATGGACAAGTTCCCTCTGAAGCCATCCCACATGGACAGTCTATCCAGCACAACTTCTGCAGCCTCTCATGAAGAGGCTGGCAAACCAAAAGCTTTCCCCTTGGTGGAGGGAAGGGACATTCCCAAAGCTGGGGGAGAGGGATGGCATCTGGAAGAAGTACAAAGCAAAGGAGGGGGGGAAAGAGTGGAAGGAAGAAGAAAATAAACAGTGGTAAAAGAAACCAGGAACAAGATGATGGAACAAGACAGAAGACGTTTTTTATACTGATATCCTCCACCATAGTGTCTGTCAGGCAAAGTGGAAACAAAGTGGAACAAAAAGTTCTGCAAAGAGAACAAAAGCATTGAGAGAAATACAAAGAGAGCAAAGGCCAGGAACAGCAGCCACCATCAGTGTTATGCTCAGGCTACCCCTCCCAACCAGGTCCTAAACTTTAGGGCCAAGACACTAAACAAGGCTTTCAGACAGCCCATTCTGGCCTGGTGTATCAGAAGGAACCAGGGTCACCCTCACTTCCTAATTGTGCTACTCATTTGGGGATACAAGAGAAGAAATAAATTAAAACAACTTCAGAAGCTGTTCCCAATGTCCAGAAGAGTCTCTCTCCTGGAGCAGCCAGCACCTATCCATACCATAAAGCCCTGGCTGCCTTACCATTTTTGCATCACAGATTCCCACATGGAGAGGCAACACGACCAAATCCACTCCCCTCTTTGTTAAAAACAAGACCAAAAGCCCAACCATCCCCAAGTCAGACCAATCAGACAAAACATCTGCAGGGCAGATGATCCTGAGTTTGTTGAACCATTTAAACTACAAGTAGAGGAAACTGACTCCATGATCTGAGAAGTTACATATCTCATGTAATGCTTATGAGCTTTTAATACTGAGACAGCAAGATTATAAAAAACCAACAACAAACAAACAAACAAACAAAAACCCACAAACAAACAAACAAACAAAAAAAAAACAGCTTCTACTTAACTGATTAATGAGAGATTTTAGATGGGAATAAAACACTCCCTTTCTCAGGTTTCAGGAGTGCTGCACAGAGCCCATTCAGGTGGCACTAAATGATCAGAGAACTGCAGCAGGTAATTCCTGATCTATTTCGGGAACAAAACACTTTCTCCAAGGCATAGGTATCACGGGGCAATTTGTTGTTTCAGGTCTCCAAATTAAATCATACCATGAGCGTTTTGCAGTTAAAACCAAAAGTCAGCAGCAAAGGGCAAACCGGGGACAGGCCACCAGAGAAATTGTACAAAGGTCAAGTTAAAGTTAAAAAACCCAGCACTCTGGCACAGGTCCATGGGACGGCTGCTGAGTCACACCCCTTTAAATGCTCTTACTAACTCAGTGCTCTTCCACAGGAATAAGGGCACCAAACGTTGGTCCCGTGCCAGAACACAGCCCTGAGTTATGGGACAGTCCTTCCTTCCCCAGTGAGCAAGGAATGTGCCAAGAACTGCTGGACACAACCACTGAAAATCCTTCTCTTACTGCCTGAGCCCAGCTCTCACCATTATATGCACATTCCTAGGCAGAAAGCAGAAGTGGGCATCACCTCTACTTTTATATATATATATATGTATACATATATACACCCACATAAAAATATGCATATACACGTACCCATGTGTATGTATATCCACATGCAGGAATTATACCTACAAATGTGTATATATAGATATATAGGAATATCACATAATACACTGCTGCCGCTGCACTTACCTCACTTCAGGCATTACTGTGTACATGCATATATTCCCCCTCTTCACATTCAAACTAGTATTACAGTTTTGGCTTAATCCATGGAGAAGTTGGGAAGGAGAGCATTGCCTACCAATATCATACTATAATAGAAATTCCCAGGACATGGACAGTCCTCAGACATTCTCCTTTTCCCAAGGAGAAGAAACGCATGTTTTGATTCCCTCCTCTTTCTTCCCTTTACCCTCCCCATCTACTTTCTCCTTTCTCCCCTCTGCAGTAGCACACTAAAAATTTCAGCACATTTCAGGTTTAAAAACGGCTAAAACCAAACTGAACGCTTTGACATTTTACGGCAGGATCGGCTGCAAACTAAACCACAGCAGAGCAGCAGGTAGGCAGCAGTACCTCCGAATGGCCCAGATGGCTTTGCTGGGCACAGAAAGGCCCCCGCTCCGCTGCTCCGGAGGTGACGCCGGGTGGCAGGAGCTCCAGGCGCCCCGGTGAGCAAAGCGATGCTTCCCGTTCTCCCGGGCGGCAGCAGGGACCTGCAGCGAGGCAGAGGGAGAAGCCACGGGCTGCCGGGCAGGTCTCTGGAGGATCCCCCCATTTCTCCTGAGAACACAGGCAGAGAAAAGGGGGAGGAAAAAAAAAAAAAAGAGGGGAGAGAGGAAAGAAAAGGATTTAAGGATTTTTATTTCTCACATTTACTTAGCAAAAGGTTGAACATTATGAAAACAGCACAACACGGCATCTAACTACAACAGATGACGTTTTATTTAATAAAAAATACAAGGTTTTTGCATGCAGGGAGGACAGGATTTTTAGGTCCTAACCAGACCTGACAGCAACAGACGAGCACTACAGTATTAAGCTGTTCTCTGGAACTCTGGTATGATGGGAAGCGCTACAAGGAAGAATATGGTGCTATTCCTGATTTTTTACCACAGAAAATAATTAGTATTTGGCCTCATTTAAACCAAAAACAGGTTCCAACCTACAGGTTGGAGGAAGGAGCGGGAGGAAATTAGTTTCAGCAGCGTGTAGAAGGCTGCTGGTTTTCTGCTGCCCTTGAAAAAACAGTCAAATAGGGTCATAAAATCCTGAGCACCACAAACAGACAGAAAACTGCACAATATATGTAACCAGACCAAATATGAAAATGCAGCACATCTGGACTAGAAAGCTTTATTCCTTCAAGCTAAATAGCTGTCACATCTGGGCAACTGGATGCCACTGAAGCAAAGAAATAACCTGAAGAGGTCACTGGAATGTGAACCTAAGAGAAGGGGGAGACTGAGGAGAGGGGGAAGGAGGAGGGCAGAGCTCTTCCCCCGATTAATTACTATTTGTGTTCACTTCATCCAGGCAGCTCCTGGAATGTGTCTGGCAGGCTGTAAATGCAAGTGTTAACAAGCGTGTTGGCTGTCAGACCCCAGAAAACTCCTGACTGGCTCCTTGCCCATGAGTTGCACCGTTACAAATTACTTATTCTGTCAAAATAGGAGAAATCCTCTGCCAATCCATTGTACCTGTTCTCTGACTGTGACTGCTGCTAGACAGACCAGAGGGAGGGCAGGTGGGGGCTGACACACCCATCCATTCCCCATTAGCACCTAGAGGAAGGCCTGAAATGGGAGGGAAGCCAGGATGCTCCCAAATAAGGGAAATCCCTTTTCTCCTAACAGCATTTGCTGCATGGTGCCAGCTCTGGCATTCCCCAGCCCCTTCTGGGAGCAGATTTTATTCACTACTGCAGAACACGAAGTCAGTGTCCTTTTATAACCTATTTACACCAGCTCATGTAAGGGTGCAACAGGCTTCAGAGCCTGTGGGGCAGCAGCAGTGGGAACACGAGAAGTGATGGCAGGAGCAACAGCTGCCATTCTCAGTGGCACTAGGCTCTGACATTCACTCAGTTGTCAATAGATTTGCACCAGGTATGGTTTGGGAGAGAAATGGACAAAAACCAGCTTCTATCAAACAAAAGACTTCTGGCTTTTTAACAGACATACAGAATAGCATAGTTACTTGTAAACAAAGCGCATGAGGGGCACAGTCTTCGAAGGATTGAATTTTTCTCCAGTGACTGCTGAGGGCTGCTAGTTATTCCAATCATCTCAGAACTAGCTGGATGTTTCCCCTCTTTTTCTATTCTTCAAGGACAGAATTTTATTATTAAACACCATATGACATCTCTACAACCATGACATTGTGACTGAATAATCAGATGCTGCGAGTGGAAGGAGTTAAACCAGACAAATTTTACTATGTTGATGCTTCAGTCAGAATTCCCACGGAAAAAATAAATGTTAGTCTTGCCAGAGTGAACTGAGCATTTCAGAGGTCAGTTCTTCACATCTGGTCTATCTAGCCAGCAAAAGTTACCAGGCAGCAACAGAGTAATAAAGAAAAAAAAAATAATTAAAAAATCAAACCAGAATGAAACTTTGATGTCCTCCACATCTGTCAGATGTGTGCCATCTAATTCAGCAGGGCAAGTCCACTTCCCATAGTGCAGTATATTATAACACATACTTTGCACACACAGGTGGCAACACTTTAAAAGCACAGTGAACACAGAGAGTTACTTACAGTTTGAGTCCATTGCAGGAGAGCAAAAAGAAGTCATAAACCAAGCACACACCAAACACAGTGACTCCAGTTTCTTTCACCAGCATTGCACACGTCCCAAGGAATAAACTAAGCAGCAAAAAGAATGGGGAGGCAGTGGGAGGGAAATGTTCCCCAACATAAAGCTGATCCACACTCCTGAAAAATATATTTAACATAAATATTTTAATTTCTCTGTTATTTTCATGTTTACTACATTCACACAAATATTGAGAACACTTTTCTCTAATTTCTTAAGATGCTGGTGACAAGAGACATGAACAATCTATATTGTTTGCTGATAAAAGGGAGGCTTAGACTTCTCATTTAATACTTTTGATAAATAAAGGTTCAGGCACAGGACAGGAAAGGAAAACACAAATATTGAGAGACGCATCAAGAATCTGAGCAGAGGAGGGGGAAAATGACAAATAGAAAGATAAAGTGGACTTGAAACAGTCAAGAGGAAGGCAGAGTAAGTAAAAAGACAGAAAGGGCAGAAAAACACTTCCTTTCCATACTCTAGAACACACATGCTTAATTCTCCGTATGTGACAAAATGCACTATGCAAGCAAAAATTCCTCCATCCCACCCACACTCCCCTGGGATCAAAGATGTGTCCTAGTCATTAAAAGACTGGACAGCAAGCCTGTCTGAGAGGGAAGAAGGTAAGAAAGAACCAAAAATCAGACAAGCTGATTCCTGTAGAGTCACTAGCAGTTTTACAGCTTTGAAACCTTCTGATGACAACAGTGTTGTGGATTTGCAGCAAACATGCCAGGACAGACAGAAGCAGCTTTTCCATGCAGCCACAATGACACAGTGCTGCTCCTAAATGAATGAACTCAACAGGGGCAGAAACGCCATTCCAGTAAAGCTATTTCTTTATCTATACTTGCTCAGTCTCAGTTTAAGGACACGGACCAGCAAAGAGTGCCAAGTTTTCATCTGAAAAGGATGACTAACAGTCTAGACACAATCCTTAACTCTCCCAGGCTGAGTATTTTGGAGTCCCACAGTCACAGCATATATTTCAAAGGCAGGCATTACTCCTTCCTCCACCCTACATGCAGACAATTTGCCTTCCACTGAAAAGTGCTTTTTTGTAACTTTTAGCTACAACTCCACAAGCACTCCTCTGGTGCAGAGTCAGGTGTAATGTCAATGGGGACCTTAAACGTTGAGCTCTCATGTTTATTTGTTGTCATAAGCACCACTTATTTGGCACCGTGGCTAGAAACAGAGGCCAGGGCACTCACACACAGCAGTGTTAGGGGAAGGACCTCTGCCAACAACCAAAAACTGACAGGTTTCCCCTTTTGCCTCCTCTGCAAACTACAGCATCACATCAAATTATCGCAACCGACAGCAAGGATCCATACCTATTATAGGAGAGAAAAGCCAACAGAAAGAGTAGGCAGGCTAGGACATCTGCTCTGCCTACTATACCTGTTACCTGAAAGGAAGAGAGAGACACAGATGTAAAGGCAAATATATATATATGAAGGCATGTGTGTTCAGTGACTGTTTCAACTGCTGCTACTACAGGCTTTGTATCTTTCAGTGTTATCCTCCTTCACCATCCTGAAATGTTACATGGTTGTGTAGGACATGCTCAGTTTCATCTGCTGCGTTTCCCATGTGGCAAAACAAATGAGTAAGCCAACTCACTTTTTTTATTAAGGTATTAATAAAGTTGCATAGAGAAATGCCTGGTTTAGGGGTCTGTTTTAGTTTTGCATAATAAGGCTTAAATGAGCAATGTATCCAACTCCCAGAACTGAGACAGCTCTTTGGAGAAGACGACTTATGAGTTAATATTTGAATAAACATCACCAAAAAGTGGTGATAGGGTGGAATGTAATTTATTCTCTTTCTGAATAATCTGAGTTTATGAGAGGTTTTTTTACATATTAACCGTATCTTTTTATAAGAAAAGGAATACTGAAGAAGAATATAAAAAACACTCTTTTTACAAACTATTTCAATATCCCATTTAATAAAGATCTAAAAAATGCCCATAAAGCAAATAAAAGACCCTTTGAAATTTTGCCTCTTTTGAGATTACATAATTGAGCTATATTCAGCACTCTGGCATTTATTTTAACCTTTTTAAGTTCTGACCCAGACAAAAATAAATTCAAAGAGCACCTCTTCTAAAACCTCCCTTATAATATAAAGCTGTATTATCAAAAGGAGCCTGGCTGATTAGTTCACACGAGACAGCACGGAGAGTAACTGTAAAGCTTGTGGCTTTTTGTTATTAAGGTAATCTCTCCTCAAAAGTTCTCAGCCGTGGCAGCCGTTTCCCTCGCTCATTTACAAAGTCTCCTAACGAGAGCCTGTGATGTCAATGGTATCTCAGCTAACGAGTGTGTTTCTTTTTTTAAAGTACGGATAGCTAGGCATTGCATTTCCTTCCCAAAGACAGCAAGACTCATTTTTTCTAGAAAAGTACCTCCCGACACTAGCAGACTGCAGTTTTAGCATGACTACATCTTTAAATATTCCCTTATAACAAACAGGAAAATGTCCAATATGAGCTGTTGCTCTATAAACTTACCACGTCGCTTATTAAGCTAACAAGTTTCTTCTGAAGATGATCCTCCTAGCTTTTAACTGAAATCAATATAAATTAAACCACGGGTCACATCACCTCTATCTGAGAGATCTCATCCAGAATACACGCTAATGCTCCCTTCACTTTTTCTCCCTTAAATTGATGACTACAGGAGAGGGCTGAAGGCACGCAACAATGTCCCAGCAGGAGGGTGCAGCCTCACCAAGGTCTTTGGTTTCAGAAGACTCGGCATTTTCATCAGCTGAATGACTGGCCATTTTTTCCCAGCATTGCTGATTAGGACCGTCAATCAGAATTTAGTACCAGAGCAGAAAGATGGCAAGTATGACTACACTTTTTTTCCTAATGACTCCTGCAAATTGTTTTAAATATAGAACATTCTCACCTTTGATACTCCACAGCAAAAAATCACAAGTACCATATTCTGTATGACTCAAAATTTTCTTCTAAAAAATTAAATTTTAAGTACTCGCTCGTTTTTAGCTTCTATGTCACTGGAGGGTTTGGGGTTTTTTTGTGTCACATACTTACAGCCTCGGTGTGAATGGGATGCACAGCAAAGAACAGCGCCGTGACAAAAGCAAGTCGACAGTCCTTGAACACAGCTTTGTCACAAGTGTACATCAGCACAAGGGTCACTAGGCAGTGTAAAATTACATTCACTGCATGGAAGTAGAAGGGGTTCATGCCAGCCAGCAATATGTTTAACCTGTAAGGAAACAAAGCAGAACCATTACTAGACTGGAGGGGTCTTGTAATAGCAGGACATCTTTCAGATATTACAAATTATGCTTTTTGCCTGATTTGCAGTCTTCCAACCTAAGTGCTAATCAACTAATTAGCGAAAATCCCTTCTGGTTTATCTGATTAAAGGGAAACCACTTCCCCAATTTTTAAAATACACAGTTGAATTGGGCAACCTTCTTGACACAGAGATGAGAGAAGCTTCTGCCCTCCCAGCAGAGTTTAGGGCAGCGAGACCATCTCTGTGCTTCCCTAGCAGCAAGTAGCACCATCCAACATCAGAAGCAGAGCACTTGTCCCGCTTCCCTCTTGGCACCATCTGTGGTTGTCTCAGCCACGTGTAGCTTTACAATATGGGGAGTTATTTTCTAACATAGAATAGATGCTTTTTCTTGGGAGCAGCCAAGACAAGGACTCAGTAAGGCACAGCAGCATCTGCTTGGCATTACAGGCACATTTATTCCCATTTAACTTTCAAAGTACTTTCATGTACTGAAGGGTAAGCATTTATTAAATCCTTTACTGACATGGCTACACTAAGAAGCTTAATAGTTTACATCATTTTTATTCAGACATTGATGGTAAAGATAAGTTAGCTAACATCACCCTAGACTCACTGAAACAATTAGGGTTCATTATTTGTGTCAATCATAAAAAAATAAAATATGGCAAGCTGTTATGACATTTGCTTGACAGCAGATATGAACACATTTTTCTGGTCACTGTTTTTATAGCCAGCTTTGCTGACAGCCTTTGCCTTACAGGCAGTTGAAGATAGTTCTCTTTAGAATCAACTGCATCTGTACATTTGAACAAATATATATACACGTACATATATACACATAGTGTCTCTTATCTAGGGAAGACTCCATATATGAACAAAGAATTTGGAAGCACTAATGTTAAAGAACATTCTTTTTAAAAACTGACAAGAAACCCCGTGAAAAGAAGATTCAATCTAAATATTTTGCACGTAGCTGTAAACACGCTAAAGGGTAATAATCCTTCCTGTTGTTACTGAGAGACTCCAGGTCTCTCATGACATACATGATGCAACAGCAAAGCCACCGAGTCGTTGCTACTCTGCAAGCACCTTAGTTTTTTTGTAAGACAGAGGAGGTGTGGTGTTTCTGTGAGGGCCAAACAACATACGCTTTTTATAAATATACTCTCTACATTCCTTACTCAGAAGCAATACAGTGCTATCTGTCCTGGGTTGCATTTGCCAGGCCAATCTAACTTTACCAGACCAGGAGACTGGAGTGTTTGCAGAGGCAAACCCAGGGAATTTGGGAAAAGTGAGATTGTAGCATGACTTGACCTTTCCTTTTAAAGCGTGGATTGATGCAGCTACATTTTGACAAGACATCAGTCTGTGTGAGTCAAGAACACAAGAAGAGGGGTTTTTTTTCTTTTTTTTTCCCCATTTCTCCTGCAAGTCACTTCAGGGCAGCAGCATGCACCACTCTCCCTCATTTTTACCAGCACAGAACAACAAACCACAACAATGGCAGCAACAGACACACCGCCAGAATTTCAGTGGTAAATACGCCACAGTGGTGGGATCCCCCATGCCTAAATCTTTATTTTGGTGTGCTGTGGAGAACAAGGGGCAGCACAGGGCCACCCTGCCCCGACAGAGCCAAAGGTCCCACTCACAGTCACCTGCAGATGGGCCACAAAGATGACGGACTAGAGTACCTCTTCCATGAAGAAAGGCTTAAGAGAGTAGGGGTCATTCAGCCTGGAGAAGAGCAGGCTCCAGGGAGATATTATAGCAGTCTTCCAGCACCTGAAGGGGCCTATAGGAAAGGTGGGGAGGGACTTCTTTATAAGGGGATGTAGCAATAGGACAAGTAGGAACCGTTTCAAACTGGGCAGGGGTAGATTTCGATTAGATATGAGGAAGAAATTCTTTAGTGCGAGGGTGGTGAGACACTAAAATAGGTTGCCCAGGGAAGTTATGGATGCCCCTTCCCTGGATGTGTTCATGGCCACATTGGATGGGGCTTTGAGCAACCTGGCCTAGTGGAAAGTGTTCTTGGCCATCCAGGGGGTTGGAACTAGATGATGTTTAAGGTCCCTTCACCCTCTCAGGTTAGTCTCTTTATCAGTGATGTAGATTAAGGGACTGAGTGCTTCCTCAGTAAATTTGCAGATTACACCAAACTGGGTGGGAGTGGATCTGCTCGAGGGCAGAAAGGCTCTGAAGAGAGACCTGGAGAGGTTGGATCAATGAGCTGAGGCCAACTGTCCAAGGTTCAATAAGATCAAACGCTGAGTCCTTCATTTCACTCACAACAAACCCATGCAAAGCTACAGGCTTGGGGCAGAGTGGCTGGAAAGCTGCCCAGAGGAAAAGCACCTGGGGTGCTGGTAGACAGCTGGTGCAATATGAGCCAGCAGCGTGCTCAAGAAGGCCAACAGCATCCTGGCCTGCATCAGGAATAGTGTGGCCAGCAGAAGTAGGGAAGTGATTGTGCCCCTGTACTCAGCACTGGTGAGGCTGCATCTCAAGCACTGTGTGCAGTTCTGGGCCCCTCATTACAAGACAAACATTGAGGTGCTGGAGCAAGGCCAGAGAAGAGCAACCAAGCTGGTGAAGGGTCTAGAGAACAAGCTCTATGAGGAGAGGCTAAGGGAACTGCAATTGTTTCATTTAGAGAAAAGCCGCTGAGAGGAGACCTCATTACTCTCTACAACTACCTGAAAGGAGGCTGTAGTGAGGTGGGGGTTGGTCTCTTCTCCCAAGTGAATAATGACAGCACTTGAGGAAATGGCCTGAAGTTATCCCAGGAGAGGTTTAGACTAGATATTAGGAAGAATTTCTTTACCAGAAGACTAGTCAGGCACTGGAACAGGTTGCCCAGAGACATGGTGGAGTCACCCTGGTGATATTCAAAAAACGTGTTGATGTGGCACTTCAGAACATGCTGTAGTGGGCATTGTGGGTGTTGTGTTGTTATTTGTTTGGTGGTTTGTTGTTGTTTTTTTCTCCTGGGTGGACAGTTGAACCCTGATCTTAGAAGTCTTTTCCAACTGTAACAATTCTGTGATTGTCCCCTGCAATCCCATGATTCCATGAGTACAATAGCAGGGACCACTTGCAGGACCTGTTCTTTATACAAATGAATCACTTGTGGTTGTAAATCAGTCAGATGGAGCACAGTCATCACCATAGCTTCTCCCCAAATGCCAAAGTGTGGTCTGGCAAGCTGATTTCTGGAGAAAGGAAATGTGGGCAAGTGAGGACAAGAAGTGCTCATGCTATCAGGTGATATGCACCAAAATGTAAGAGATTCTAATCTATTTATTTGGCCAAGATGTGACGACAAATCACTCAAAACACAACATCTGATAGCATTCTTGAAAAAAATTAAATCTCTCATTAGTCACCATAGATCATGTCTGATCACTTCCCAGCCTGCAAAACAGGTTTACTGGCAGGAGAGGCAGAACCTCGTAGGGGGTGAATCTTCCTGCCTCCATCAGGTCACCTCTCCCAAAGGCAGGCTGTGCTTATCACTCCTCTTCTTGAGACAAACATCAAGTCAAAAAGGCGTGTAAGCCACGAACTACCTGCTGTAAATAAAGGAAAACAGTTATGTAAAAGCATCAGCCTCACAGCTTGGTTATTCCCCTATGTATTCTTTCAAAAGATATAAAAAAGCAGAAGAAAACAGAAACATAACACCACCATGTTATTCAGACAAGCCTTCCATCAAACAGCAAAATCTGACTCCAAGCCTGCCTCGGTGTATGTTTTTAAATACCATCTTTGGTGGTCCATGAACACTAAATGTGAATGTGTGCAGATGCTATAATTCACACCAGTGTTTGCTGCTGCTAAAGCTCTTTGTCATAAGAAATTAGGCCACTCGGCACTGAAGGAAACATTATTTTGTCCTGAAACAAACCCAGTAGAATGATTCTGAAACATTATCAGTGGTTGAGTTTATTGTACGTCAAATGGGTGAGCAAATCTGGGATTACAAACAGCTCTAATCCAAATCACAAGAACTTTAGGAAGCTCCCCAGCATGCTCACCTACCCATGGGGGAAAAAGGCAGCTTTCTATGGAAAACCAGGTTTGTTCCACTGCAGAGCAACTGAGGAGTAATTCTGGGCAAAGGAGCAGGATGCAGTAGGTGTATCAACAAATACAACTTCTCCCTTCTTAAACTTTAATACTTTTACAGAGATTCAGCCTTGTCTTTGTTTACAGCAACATTATCATGGAGTTGTGTCATAACTATACACGGTATACAGCTCAGCCAAGAAAGCAAAGCAGATAGAAGATTCTGAAAACTGAGTAACAAGTGGTTTTTCTCCAACATGATGTTCATGAACAGAAGCTCTGAGGCCACAGGTGTACTCTTTTATGGGAGGAGAAGTTTGGCTCACAAATTGGGAAAATATTTCAATTTTTTAAGTTGCAAACCCAAAGACACTAAAAATACAGTAATTTCTAATTTGCAGCATCATGTGGGCTGGAGGACCTTAGCCACTTCTTCATGGAGATCATAACATCTAAAGCACAACTTGTAACATACAAGTTAAAGCCTTCATAGAGCACATAGCTAGGAAAGCAGACATTTTGGGCTGGCAAGGCTTTTTGAACTGACTGCTTGTCAAACCAGAGAGGTGTTAGGAAATAATATTCTAAAGATTGAAGGCTGAATAAATCAAGTGAATGGAGATACTGGAAAGATGAGATACCACCATCTCAGACAAGGTCTTTCCTCAGGGGAGCCACCAGCAAAACACTCTGAGAACTCAGAGTTTTGCATTGCTTCAGCAGTTCTGCTGGAAGAGTCCCTGGAGGCAAAGAGAGTGCTACGCCTCCTGAGAAGTGGCAAATGGCAATTCAAACAAAAAGGCCTTCAAAGGGCCCTGCAGAAAAGAAGGGGAAGAGCACGTATGCCACAGAGCAGTCTCTTGGTACTGGGCGACACTGTCAGATG